ATTGACTTTTATTATCCATCATTTAKCTATTGTTATGTCTTGATTAAAATAGCTTAGATYCATGCCCGAAACATTATCACAACACATAAAAAACCATTAATCGAACATAAGTACAGGGTTTTTGTCTGAGTYTTTGCAATTCAGCCGTAGGCCAGTAGTGGGCATACCAGGCACTGAAGAACATGTGTATGTATGCTGGAACTTCTGGCTTCTTGTCAACGTGGGTTTCCTGCTAGCACTGACAGCATTAAACCTCCGTTCATTTCCAGTCACTGGTGTTGTATGGTCCTCATTCCCTTCACATTTCAATTTATTCAACATTTATGTGGTTTCMTCTCAACTTCAGTTAARGAACACTAAATTTTCTTACAACTTAATAAACAGAGCACTACATAGCAGCACTGCTTACATTTAAAAGTATTTTTACCTATTACCACAGTCCACCCACCCACAAAGGAGCTTTCCTGGAGCCCACCACAAGGCTTCAGATCAGGAACGTTTCCTAAATGTCATTTCTGCAGGGCAACTTTTTCCATATATGTCAAAAAAAGCCCTTAATCACAGAGCTGTCAGATCCCTGCAACCCTCCTGTTTGAACCCAGCACTAAATCATGCTGTTTTCCTGAGTGAAACTAAGAGCTTACCAAGTGCTTTTACAGACTTTTTTGTTGTTGTTCAAGATGGCAATAATCTTAAACTTTCTTTGTTTTGTTTTGTTTTTTGTTTTGTTTGTTTTTTCTCAAAGCACAAGCAGCAATGGTTAAAAACTGCAGCAAAGAACCAACATGAGAAGTTATATAAAATGAAAGGAAAGCAGTTTTAGTATAATCTATGGATCACTGACTACTGAGGTTGAACTGATAAATAATCAAGATTCGGTGCATTCATTGGTGATTTGGGTGCATTTTAAACTAGATTGAAGGAGATGCTTTTAAACCCTTYTTTTTCACATTTAAACCATTCAAGTAGAACTGCAGAGCTTCGGTCTGAACTCCTCCTTATTGTAACTCCACAAGCCCATCTTTTAGCCCTTTTCTGAGGTGTGTTTAAGATCAACTCGTTTTGAGGCTGTCTTTTTAAGTCCAAATGAGGCGCTTCACCCTCACCCCTCTCCAGCTTCCATAGCGGCCCCTTTTATTTTGATAAAGGGGTTTACAACTAAATAGCAGCACAGAGATTTTTATTTACAATTTAATTACAAGATGCCAATATTGGAAGAATTATCCATTGTTTACATATAGTCAGTATAGTAAAACAAATAAATGTTACACCTAAATGCATTTTTACCCTTAAAATTAGGTGAATTAAAAAACTATATCATTATTTATTAAGCAAAACCTAGAAATTCAGACATAATGGGCCTCATGCGAGAACCGTTCATACGCACAGATTTGTTCTGAAGTTGTGCGTACGAGTGATTTAGGAGAATTTGTGGCATTCACCAATGTTTTCGTATTCTAAGA